CACGGACATGAATACAACGACATGGATACGCGACAAGGGGCAATAAGGAAATGGCAAATCTCAGGAGACGCGACAATTATTTTTTTAATTATAATAATAATACTTATATATATTTTTAAAAAACAAAATATTGATGTTCATACTCCCATTCACAGTACCACATATAGTGAAAGTCAAACTTTCCAAGTCTTTCAGATGTAGTTTATTAATTTTATATGAATTATAATTGAATTAACACATTAGTTCACCTTAGTATGAGTTGACCCGTGTCCAGAGAGTGTCTTGACCGTGTATAGAGAGTGTCTTGACCGTTGACGTAGAGTGATTGTTGGACACAGGTGTTCGAAGAATGTTTGAGTGCTCGACACTCCGACACTAAAGCTTAGTAGAGTGTCCATGCAACATAGGCTCTACCGTTTCAGCTCTCGTAAGACTTTCTATTCGCTTATTTTATTTAGTCTTGAATTTTTGTCATAAATGATCTTTAAATTTGTTAAAAATTGTTATTACAATCCTCAAACTTTTAATCAAACAATATAGTCGTTTATCTTTTGGTTCACGCATCAATCTGATTTATGTCATTACATTCCAACCTTTTTAACCGTAGTGTTGACATTATTGCTCCATTTAAGCGTATTACTGAATACATCATAGTCAACCATAGCTCTAAAAAAATAATAATTTAGTCCTTTGTAAAATATGTAACATCGTGACAGTTTTGAGCGGAGTGATTATTATATAACAAATGATTAAAAGTGATTGACAAAACTTATCTCCTTTTAATTACCCACCCACCGCACTACTTGCTTTCTTCTGGGATCCATGACTAATGGGTCATCTAAATATAGGCAGCTAAATATAAGGTTGTCCCTTTTCTAATATGATATACCAATTTATCTGCTTTCAATTAAAAGGAAAAGAAAATTATTTTTCTTTGGTTGCAAAAAGGGAGCCTAAAGTCTGGAGAGAGAAAGGACGAAAGTTGAAACTCTGGCTTCAACTGTGGAGCTACGTATCCCGAGACTTAGAAAAACTTATTCCAAAAGGGTATATATGTATTTTTATTTTTCACACAAGCAAACTTGCGAGAAAAGGAATTTGAATTTTAGTGCAAAGGAGCGGATTCATTGACCTGACCAACTGTCCTATCTTACACTATATTATGTGCACAATTTTTTAAATAAATGCAGTGGGTACATGTGGTTGAAACTTTGAAGAAAATAGCCAGTTCTATAATGATGGGATGTTTGTTGAGCAACAGTTGCTACACAACTTTCTGAATTTTGAACCCTTGTACAGGACCAACATGGTCAAAATATGCACACTATTCAGTGGACAGACCCCTTTACCTACCCTTTGCCATATAAGTCTATCTTAGAATGTTTCTTTCTCCACACCTATCATGTTATCCATGACAATGCTAACTGGACAGCTTTACATGCGCATGGCATTTTGAGTTGGGGTGGCTCAACTTTGCAATTAAATATTTCTAAACATAATATATTTTTATCACAATAGGGTTGGTGTAATGTAAGTCTACCTTTTAAGCGCAAAACTTCCTAACTTCATATTGTTTTTGGGCAGTTTGGACACATGCATCACCAACCATGGTTGCTCAATTGGTCTTCTTCTTTTTTTATATGGTAAATGCTCCTTGGTCGGTTGGTTACTTGTATCTTACCATTTGCACAGTGTTTCAAAATGTGCCATCCAGGCTATTTGTAATTCGGAGCTTTTTTTTGTTTTGGGTTGTACAACCTCGTGCTTGATGCAAACACATGAAAAATAGGATCTCCATGGAAGTGGTATACTTGACCCTTGAAGTGGTTCTACACTACACCCAAATATGTATCACTCGGTTAATCATAATGATCCAACAATCGTGATATTTTCATGTGTTGATACTGAATATGAGATTGTACCGTAGCCATTCTCATATGCATTGCTTTACCAAACGGACCATGTCGAGCTTTAAGGTAATCTCTTTTAGCAGTGTAGGCATTGGTTGAGTAAGTTTGCATTAAAAAAATGTAAAACCATTGAGATTAATGAGGCAAATCTAACTCCAATTTGATAATTATACAGCAAGGCATGGAAGTTCTTTCTGATCTCAAATATATCCTATGGCTTGTCACAGGGACTTGAATTTGAATCAAAATTTAGCGATAAAAATGGCGGTGTGTGGTTGTACTCAAACTCATTGGATTGTAATTAAAACTTAGTAGATAAATCTCAAGATTTCGTCCAGTTTCCAGTGCCAGGTTTTTAGGTTGCCATGTTGTTTTGATCAAGTTTTTTTTTTTTTTTTTTTTTTTTTCATTTTATATCCCATTGCCAAAAGGTGATTACTTTATGGTATGTGTTGACGCTCGGTATATGCCTAGTCCGTCTGCCCAATAAAAACATAATACGTAGATTTTGCGTACCACTTGGCAGAAAATGACCAAATTACCTCCACCTCAGCCTCGGAGCTACCTTGGGGAAACTCGAAAGGATACGAATTAGCCACGTCGACGACAAAACCTCCCCTGACAACGGGTTCACTACCTCTCATAAGAGCACCCATGTCCTCTCCAAAGCCACGTGTAAACCACCTAATCCACTACCTGACCAGAAGGGACTATAGCTGCGCGACTGGCTACTCTGTTCCCACCCGCCTCCTAGTAAAGACGCGTGAAGTCATCATAAGAAGAGGACGTGGCTGAACCCCGACCGTCCTCCACCTGACAGCTTGGTGTGACACGAATGGCTCCGATCCGAGCAGAGATAACCGGCTTGTAATTATCTTGTTAAAACTCCCTATAAATAGAACCTACCATTCGTGTAAGACCATCTCCAACCCTTGGGGTGGAAACTCAAATTTTGAGTTTAGCCTTCAAAAACCATCTCCAACCCATGTATTTTGGGGGGTGGAAATTTGAGAAATCTCAAATCTTAGGTGGAATTCCAGTCCCATTTTTGCCTGGACTGATAATTTTGTGGGCCCAAAATCTGCTTTTTTTATTATTTTTTTTCTGACTGAAGCCCATGTGTTGCACAATGTTTGCTGGGCCCAGTTTTGGTTACACTGTTTGGGCAGCAACTTTGTGCCAAAAATCTGATATTGCTGGTTTGTTTGTTTGTTTTTTTTTTTTGTTTGGTTTTATTTTAAATATTCCAACAACTATATTTGTAATCAATAATCATGATTAATTTTAAGCAATCTCAACGGCAAAATTTAATGATTGTCGTTTATTTAAAAATGCTTAGATAATTTAAACACACTTACATAATTCAATGAAGAGTTCGAATTATTCCGAGCATACGTATAGTATTGTACTTATTTTTATTTTTTAAGTGAAATTCAATTATGTTTTGGAATTTTATTTTTTTTAGGTTAAAATGTTTAGAAAATTAAATCACGAGTGTTGAAACAAAAAAAATGTCAAGAAAAATTAACAAGAAACAAAATTTAGGGGTTAATCATTCTTAAACAATTGAATAAAGTTGCGGACTCAAATTATGAGTCTACAAGGTTGGAGGAAAAAAAAATTTGAGTCCTGAAAATACATGAATAGTTGTATTTTGGAAGGTGAAAATTTGAGTTTAGCCCCAACATGGTTGGAGATGGTCTAAGGGGGGATCTTTTGAGTTCAAAAAGAACTATATACAAGAAATTCATAGAGATAAAGTTCATTCCTTATCCTTGTCAGTATCTCAAGATAGACCCAACCCTAAGCTCCTCGCCTTTTCGTCTAAAATTTGTATAAAGTATTCGTATTTCATACGTTGGCCACAGGAATATTGAGGGCTAAACAGTATGAAATCATCTCATGAGCTTTTAGAGTTTAGATTTATCTCTCTTTGCTCTGGGAAGGTTAAAACCTAAGCTGCATATGTGCAAGTCGACTATAGTAAGAGGAAAATATAGAAAACATTACACTTGGATTCACCTGTGTTGTCAGTTGAAATCTTATATTGTCAAAATGTTGGACTTCTATGCAAATTAGAGATTGTAATTTGTTATATTCAACTGTTGGTGTGAGATGAAATCTTATCTTGTCTGAATCTAAGATGTTTAATTGAATTGTGAAAAAGAAAAGAAAACTCAACTTTTAAGCCTGAGAATTTCAAGTGGGAGTTGTCTCAATCCCAAATTTGAGATTCTTTTTCTAGACTTCACCAAATTAAAAGATTTGAAATCCCATTTATTCTACCAGAGTCTCATATGGTTTTGAGACCCCTGTTTTTGGGGTAAAAAACAAAAATTTACCTTTTCTGTCTGTCTATTCACGTGATGAGAGATAAAAAGTGAGGTTACATAAACCCGTTTCATGCAAATTTTTCTCCCTATTTTGAGATCTCCCACTGCACATGCTATAACAGTTAACAGTTGCACCTTGCAAATTCCAAGTTGAGCATTCACAGTGGGGGGATGTAAATTCGGGGGTGTAAAGCCACTTTTACATCCCCTTTACGCCTTCGGGGGGTGTAAATATGTTTTTTGCTCTAATGGGGGAGTGTAAATTCGGAGGTGTAGTCGTAGGTCCTAACCTTTTATGTTGACTTTTCTTCATTTTTCTTCTTTTTTTTCGGGTGGATCCCGCTTGCAAGGGATGTAAAAATAGATGTAAATATACATTTTATTTTACATCCCCATGGTGGTGATGTATATTTACATCCATTTACATCTCCCCATTGGAGACGATTCCGATGACTCGGAGTGTATATTTAACATACACCTCCATATACACCTCCCACTATGGATGCTCTTAGGAGGGGCATGATTTGATATATATGCAAGGTATACCAAATCAAATGCCAGTATGGATCAAGTTATCTAACTTTTTGCACAACAGCGTTGACTTTGATTTTTCCCTTTGCTCAGTGTGGGAAGATTTTCTATGCTTTTATCAAATCCATTACTAGCTGGCAATTATGAAGGGAAATCATAAAAATCCATTCAAAGTTACTTCTGCTTCACAAGTTACAAAAATATTTTGGTTTATCTGAAATGTAACTGCAAATAACTCCTCCCAGAAAACCTTCCATTTAATATTAAAATACATTCATTTTAGCACCAAAATAATTGGATAAACAGTTAAGGGCTTCCAAATTTTGATTCTTCTTAATTGCTATAATTACCATGCAATAGTTTTCAGCCGGCAGCACCCAAAACACGATTAATTTAAGATTGAATTTTAATGGAATCTTCTTGTGGTTTAGGCACTGCAAGGTGGCCCTTCTCCTGCAAGCTCTTGACAGTGTCATATAGGCACTGCTTCACTGGCGTGAACTCCAAGCCCAAGTCTTGTAGCTTCTGGTTCGAGAACTTGTATGGTTTTACTCTGGGTTTGACTTCATCTGAGCACCTGTAAATGTATGGCAAACTAATTAATATAATCCCAAAACAATTAAAAAAAAAAAACAAAAAAAAAAAAATATATGTGCATTAAAATATTTGACAATAGAAATCCATAAAAAAGAAAAAAAAGGCTGCACCATTTAAAATCTATATAAAAGAAAACGAATGATTAGCCAAATGTTTCTTTATTCTATAAAAAATAAATAAAGGACCATCTAGTCTCCATGCAGAAGACTAATAGATGCTGTCCTCCATGAACTTGTAGGCCTAGGAAACAATGGGTAGGTCAAAATTCACATATTCGAAGTATGAGAATGACATGTAGAAAAAGAAATAAATTTTTTTTATAAAAAAATGTCATGGTGAGGTGGAGTCTTGGAGTAGGTAAGGACTCATCTTCTCCACAAGTATTTTGATCCATTTTACAGTTTCAACTTTTTGGGGCGTCTAGTCCTTCATACAGACAAGTCATAGTTGGTGCACCAACTGCCCCACTTCTACAAGCAATCAAAAGCATACACATGATGTGTTCCATTCTATTCTAGTCTGGCGTCAAATCATACAACTTTGGAAAGCAAAGAAAAAAAAACCTCATATCAAAAACATTTTAAGCAAAGTATGAAAAGTTCGACACTGTTAGCCACAAAATTCTAAATTTGAATCTTCTATCTTTAATTACTAATAATTATAAACAGCATCATTTGATGACTAAATTAAGGAAAATGCTAGGGAGATTCATTTTAGATACCAACTTGTGTACCATCTCTCTAATAGAGGGTGAGACCTATTGTATTGGTGGGCTCCACCTCTATTAGGGAGATGGTACATAAGTTGGTATCTAAAGTTGGTCTCCCTAACCCTAAATTAATTTAGAAAACTTCCTACACAAGTTGTATTGCTATTGTCTTGTATATTCAATTCAAGTGCACGCATTTAGTGTATTTAATTTTGTTAGAGAGGAGGAATCCGAACTTATTTAGTGACAGAAAGCTCTATATAAACTACTTCTGTCGCCTTCAATTCATTTTTTTAAACCCTTAAAAAAGTTGAGGTAAATTTCAATAGAATGAAAGTCTAGCTAACTGGTTAAAGTAAAACATGATAGAGATTGAGCTTTTTAGAGCAGAAAAACTTGGGTGCAACGGAGATGTTTATCCTCTCGTATCTATCTCTTTTTTAACATGACACTGCACGAGAGGGAATACTCCCACAACTGGGGCATAAAAAGCTCCATATCCTGATTCCACGATCCTATAAATGCCACATGATATAACCTATTAATATGGTCTGAAAATGTGATGTATTTAATATTTACTCAAGAAACTATAACTTAAAAAAAAACTTGTTTGTCACTAGAGTTGAGAAGTAGTTTTCTTAGGTTAAATTTCTATTATCTGCTAAGTGATCCTACTCATTATAAGAATCGTGTCCTTGCAACTGTCCATAAATAATCCAAAAGGGCTTTGCTAATCATAGTCGTCCGCAAGTCCCACACTAGATTACTAACCTAGAGCTGTGTAAGTATACATGGACTTAGCCGACACTAAATCAATAATTTAGAGACTAAGAAGATATTAAATCAATGACTAAGAGCCGTGTACGTATCCAAATCAATCACTTTGAGAGTGATCCAAGTGTACATGAATAAATGCTTTTACCATTTTACTTATACCAAAATAGTTAGGGATGACAACGAGCCAGTTCAAAGTCAGGTATGGCAATATCATCCCCGTCCCCACACCCATCCCCATCTCGGTTGTTATCATGTAGCTCAGAAAACATCTTATTTGGACAATAAATAAAGAAAACAAAATTGATGAGGATGATGATGATGTACTTACTTGGTGGGAATTGGGTACTCTGGGAAGAACTTGGCTAGGATTTCCACCACATCTCCACGATGAAGCACACTCTCAGCACAAAGGTACCTTCCAGAGGCAGATGGAGTTTCATACACCAGAATGTGGGCCAGAGCCACGTCTCTAACATGCACATAGGCCTGCACAGAATTGGCATAAGTCTTGGCTGAGCCTGTGAGGTACTTGAGGACGTGGATGATGCTGGCGTTGATGGTTGGTTGCAGAAGTGGTCCAAGCACCAAAACTGGGTTCACCACCACCAAATCCACCCCTTTCGCTTTGGCCTCTTCCCATGCTGCCTGCTCTGCCACTGCTTTCCCATAACAGTACCAGTTCTGCATAATGCGATTTTATCTTTGTCAGATTCATTGTTAATTATAATTTGCAAAACACAAACTAGATTTTGATCATTTTTATTTGGATTTCAAAGACTATTTGATCTTCTGTGAAATGGGTTTTAATTGTTTTTGGTGATTTCGTCTTTGATTGATAAATTGAACTAAAGGTCAACTGAATAGGTTACTTTGGGATGTTAGCTAGGTGGGGCTTGTCATTAGTCATTACATGTTAACAACCAAGTTTTAATTGGTCGTTTTCAACTTTTCATCACAATGCATGTGCAAATTTCCTTCATTTACTTTTGTGGATCACCTTTAACAACTCTTTATATATGTTTAAATTTTAACAAACAATTTTCTCTTTCCAATCATGTTTTGGATCACACCTATGGTGTTATATTGATTTAAAATGTTATCATCTCATTTAAAGTGTTTTTAACTTTAAATGTTTAGTTACATAGTCATTCTTAGAAATAGTGATATAAATAAATTCTACACCATTTAATTTCTATAAACAAACCGAAAAAAAAAAACTCAAAAAACGACAGCTGGCCTTGTTGACTTTAATTTTGATTATTAAATTACTTTGATGTCATATTTAGTGTTTTGGGTTTTTTAACGAGCTTTTGGGGTCAGGCTTGTTTTAAGAAATTGATGGTAGTTTTGTAATTTATAGGAAATTCAAAACATCTTTGTTATATTATAAATGAGTTTTGGGTGTGTTTCTAAAGTTCATTTAATAAGGTTTTTATTTTTTATAATTTCGGCTCTTATGTTGGGTATAATAGTAAATCCATCTTTTAACTTGTTATATAAACTACATATTCTATAAAAACTTTTTTTATTATTTTCAATCATGATTATAATATAAATTTTCTATAGAGCTCCTAAAATAACTTTATAGTCATTCCAATTGAAATATAACTTGAAAAAATAGACCATGATTGGAGATGACATCCATAGGTTCATTCTCTAATTAATTACTAGACAAAACAATTGTTCTTAATTATGGTAGACATGAATTAATCGAGTTGGTGAGAGCATTGAGCTTATCTCCTTTCACCTAAATTTCAGTCCCCATATCTATAAATATTAAATTAATTTAAAATAGTTTACACCAAACCTTGTATATAAAAAAAAACAATTCTATTTAATTATGAGACACAATGAGTGATAAACATATCAAAACAATTGATGTAATTTTGAGTGCATCATGAGTCATCATACTATATAAATTGGAGAGATAAAATAATAAAATAAATAATATTATGTCCTGACCTTGGTGTTCTTGCAGAATTCAAGATCACTCCAACAAGACTCATCGACCACCACATCAGGGCCCCTGGTGGGGTCCATGTACACCGCACCAATTGACGACGTGAACACCACCCTTTTGACCTTTGCTTCTGCTGCCGCAACAATCACATTCTTTGTTCCATTCACCGCCGGCTCCACCATTTGTTCCTATATACACATCATTCATTGCCTTATTAAAAAAATGTCAATTAAAAAAAAAAAAAAAAAAAAAAAAACAATCCCTTCAAAATATTTTAATAGCATAGAGATGAGATGTTACAGTAGAAAATCATGAGCAAATTTTATTTTGAGTTAAATTACAATTGGTTTTTCCTTTCAGAGGTTTTGGTACGAGTTATATTTAGAGAAATTATTGTATGGTACGGAAAAAGTAAACTCAGTATAACTTTCTTATAGGCCTTATAAAATGGGACATGAATTTTAAAGTATTATCCGTTACCAAAATATTCCTTCTTATCTTTTGTTTTTTTCCTTTTAAAGAGTAATAATATTTATTGGGTATTATGGGACTCCGAGAACAATTTTTGGAGGTCCACAAACATCACAATTGACAAACAGATAGATTTGGAATATTAGGAACCCATGGTTTGTTATAGGGGGTTGGTAAAGACTAAAGAGAAAAAGTGTGCATATTTTCCGGCATTTTCTCAGTAACCAAACAGGAAAAGGAAGAAACAAAATAAGGAAACAGAGACAAAAAAAAAAAAAACTCACTGGGTCATCCGTAACCGGTGATGCCGTGTGAAAAACGCCATCACAGCCGTTGATGGCTTCTTTGAGGCTCTCATAGTCAAGAAGATCAGCTTTACGCAAACTTAACCTCTCTCGAGCTCCTTCAAGCTCCCTCAAATGAGCGTTCTTTGGGTCATCTGTGATCAACCCAAAATAAGAAAAGCACCAAAAAGGGAAAAACATATCTATACAAGGAAGAATTATGTATCCCCATATATGTTACGTGTTACCTTGTCAAACTGTGAATAAGAACCGCAAATTCAGATATAATTCAAATGAATTGATGGCTGGTTCTAATTCACAGTCTCACTACATAACATGTTGATACCCGAATGTAGGACAAAACAAACAACTCATAGGCCAAGAAGATAATGATTTGGACTGACCTGGGTTTCTCAAGGTTCCCCTAACAGTGTAGCCTCTTTCTAGCAATAGTTTGACAATCCAGGAAGCAATGAACCCTCCTGCTCCGGTGACACAAACAGTTTGGCCATGGCCTGAAACTGAAGAACTATCGGCAGGCATCTTAATACTTAGCTTGGTTTTTGGGGAATGTTTTTTGTTTTGCCGTTTTGGTTGGTGGGATTGGAAGAGATCAAGTATAGACAAAGAGAGGAAGTTTGAAGTTTGTGTTTTGTATTGGAATAGCTGCTAGTGCGGCTTTATAAGGAGGAGAAGAGCCTACCAGACTCACCTACCGCCGGTAAAAAAACAATATTTGAGTAAAAAGATAAAGATATGTAAGGCTTTAACAATTGCTTTTTTTTTTTTTTGGTTGGGTCTGAGCTTTAACAATTGCTTTGTCTAACAAGTGGAAGAGAAAATGTCACATGACTTTCTAGTTTTTTCTTTTCGTTGTAGAATAATGATATTTTAAATGGTGTTATTGGTGGGGTTTTAAATGAGTGGTTTATGAATTCTTACGTTCGAGTTTGGTTATTATCTTTTATTCATAAGAGTACACAACAAATCAATCATCATCTCAATGACATTTTGATTAATTTAGAAAATAATTTAAACACACTTTTTCTTTTTGCCCCCCCCCTTTTTTTTTTAATCTATACACTCCCACATTTCTTTTGGTTTTTATCATAACTAATCTCTAAACTTTTTTTAAGTCTTCATTTTAGTCCTCAAACTCTCAAATCAATCAAGCGGTCCTTTATCTTTGGATCGACACATCAATTTGGTCTTTGTTGTTGCATTTTGACAAAATTTTCAATAAAAAATGATTGTGTGTCATCGCATGCCACTTTAAAGGGATATTGTCATCTAATTGTAGTTCTTTTCAGTCCTAATACTCACATTTTTGCTCCATAGGCTATATCTTACCAATTAAGATTTTACACTAGAGTCCATCAAGGAGAAAAAATAGCCTTATTGAGTAAAATATGTGAGAATTACTTTGAGTCGTTGGTGGATAGGTTGTATTTGAATGAAAATACCCCTTCAAAGTTGGTTAAGTGACTAAATTTAACAAAGATTTTGACAAATGCTATGAGAAGGACCAAACTGTGTGTGGATAAAAAGATTAAGAACCACATTGATTGATTTGAAAGTTTAAAGACTCAAATGAAGACTTATGAAAGTTATGGGACCATTAGTGATTAAAAAAAAAAACCCACCTTTTTTGTTTTAATACTAAGATATTGGGGAAGGGGGAATCGAACTGGGGTGGAGGGGTAAAGTCCCATAAATTTGTTAAAAAATAAAATAAAATAAAAATCTATTCATCTCATCCCCATTATTCCCAAAATATATCCCTTCATTCTTCTTCCCATTCAACTTCCACTTCCCTTTCTCCTAAATTTTTTTGTTGATATTTTAAACTGCATTGCACTTGTAGCTCAAGTGGTTAAGAGGAGTTATTATGGTATCTAAGGTCATGTGTTTGATTGCTTCATCCATCAATATTTTGTACATATATATATATATATATAAAAGGCTTATTTGTTGAAATACCCCATATGATTTTGAAATTGTCTCAAGGTGCCCCCTGAAATTTATAATGACTTAACTTCCCCCTTGTTAAGGCCCAAAAAATCCAGATTTGGAGCACGTGAAAGTTCGTCATTCACGCTCACATGAGTCATGATCCACGTGTCGTGCCAAATAAATATGCAATATGTCACACTAAGAGTTGAAATAAGGCTTTACAAGCCCATGCTAATTATCTCGTCAAGCATCATGTTCCTTTTTAAAGGCGACGAAATTCAAGCACGCCAAGCGAAAAATCATTATTATTACACCTAGCCACGCTACAAGCTTAAGTGGGCCCAAGCCACGCAAATGCCCGGGGCTTGCTGAGTGGGTTATGGTATGGATGGTAACGAGCTTTCATGAGGCCCATTGATGAGCTGAGAAATGGAAGTTTTAGTCTACTTGGGAGCCTAAAAACTCAAGCCTATTTCTTGAGCCCAAATATATAGGTGAGCATAAAGGAGAGAAAAAAGCCTAATACTCTAGAAAAGATAGCCTAATACCTTAGAAAAATTAGTCCATCACCTTAACCAAAATAGCCCAACAATTGATGAAGTTAGCCCATTTACTTGATAAACCAACTTATTGTCCTAGAAGGACCAAACAACCTAAGAAAATATCTGCAAATCTCCAGTACCTAGTTGAAAACAAAAGCCACGATGAAAGCCAAAATATCCATGTGTAAGCTGCTGGGAGGCTCTAGCACATGGGGTGAACGAATCCCAACATCAGCCATTAGAAAAATCAAGGGATACTTGAGCAAAACACCTTTTAAACCAGCATACATACCTATTTCTTTCCCCCCACCAAATCTAGCCATAGAAGAGGGAAGGAAAGAAGGAAAGGAGATGGCTGAAAATGGAAGTCCCCCACTGAACCAGCTGTGGGAAAGGCCTAGAGTACTAAAAAATTCCTTTTTTTGTGCGATTGGGCAGAGAGGATTTCACCAAAATAGGATAAGTCAAAGGGAGAGAGGAGAAAGGAAGGGAAAGTTTAGCCAAATTGGATACAAACCATTAGGGTTTCTTGGGAAAGAGGAGCTTCCAGTGGCTATAAATAAGGCATCTCCTACCCAACAAAGGAGAAATAACATCCAGAGAGCAAGTTCCTCTCTTACCTCCAAAACCAAGCAATTTCGTGCTCAGTTCATCCTTCTCCCCCTTGTTTTTCCCCTTGGCAGATCATTATGATATTTGACAGAACTTCTGTCGAGCTGCTGAAAAAACACTTAAGCCACCCATTGCCTAGCCTATCTCCTCTTCTCAACCAAAACCTCTGATAATCCTTTCATCATTTTCCTTAGAACCCTTGTTTTTCATAGAAACTCACAGCTCTTTGCCTTTGAAGCTAAACTCATGACAACTTTGCTCTCATGCCACAAGCTTCTCATGCCAAGCTAAGATTATACCTGTAAGCACTAAGAATTTTTTTGTAAGCAGCCATTGTTTTTGTTGGTGAATGTGACCAGGCCACGGTGTTTCCTAAGGCCCTACTGTCCTTTCGAAGCATTCTTGGGACTTAAATGTTTAAAAATAAATTAACTTTTTAAAATATTTAAAAACCCAGCAGCCCTTCCCAACCCTTAACCCCTAGCAACCACCTTCTCCCTCCTCATTCTATTGTTTCAATGTCCCACCCCTTCCCCCACTATTCTTAATGGCAAACAACTCTTAGACTACTTGATTCTCATAATCTGTTCTAAAAGTGAAGTGCTTTTGTCACACTTCACATGTATCTTCCTGAACTTCACGCTAATTGCCCATTAAATTCAAAAAAGAAGAAGAAAATGAAAAATCATGAACAACCCATTTCATCAATTCAAACAATTCTCTTAATCCATGATTCTACAAAAGAATAAAATAAAAGTCGATGATGATCAAGCAAATCAGCACAACCCCAACATTCCACAAATGAAAAGAAAGCAAGCAAGAGCTGGAGTAGTAAGAGTGCGGAAGAGGGACGCAGAGGAAGGTCTAAAGGCAGAGAGTGACAACCCAACTGCTGCAAAGAGAAGTAGAAGACATGATCTTTTTTAGATCCATCCTTACTGATCTCTCTTTCCCACTACTCCATAACCACAACCTCCACTCCACATTCCAACCTACCAACCATGCTGCTCCACCTTGGTTGAATGGATCTCGCATGGGAGCTGTGGTTGGGTTGGGATTTTGATGGAGGGTGGGGCGACTGGATCTCGCAAGACAAGGGTAAGTGTTGGGTTAAAATGACTGGAGATCAGAATTAGAAAAGCATTAGATGGGTTTGTGTGGGAAGATCAGTTTGGTGGTTGTGGGCAGGAGGTGTGGGCGATTGCTGATGTGGTTGGGATGTACAGTGGGATGGTGGTACGATGGAGCTGAAAAAGATGCATAACTTTGGGGCGTGTTAATTTTTATTTATTTTTTGTTTTTTAATTTTATGTTATTTAATTAATTTATATATTTGATTCCGAATAATTTCAAGCATTTTTTATATTTAATAGTTAAAATTATCGAAATACCCATGTCACGTTAGCGGATTTCACGTGTTTTATCTGCAAACTACCGAAATGAAACAATCTTGGTCATAGAATGGAAGTTCAAAGGGGATGTTGAGTCATTATACACTTCTCAGGGCGACCTGAGACAATTTAAAACCACATGGGATATTTCAACAAATAAGTCTAAAAATATTTGTAGTTCTAATGATTTTATAAGTGTTATAATTGAGTAAATTCTGAACAACGTAATGATATGTCACCTAGAAACTTCTCCATGACACGACAGAAAAATTAGATCGCGTTATCTTCGTCTATGACATGTATCACAATCAGAGAATTAAATTTCGATATTATCGCCGAGACAGAAGAAATAGCGGCGCATATGAACCGTTGGATCATGAAGTTCTTGAAGGAAGGGGGAGTAGGAAGACGAAGGATTAGAGTCTGGGCATAGAGAATTGCAACGTAGAACAACGCCATGGCGGTGCAAGCCACCACCGCCACTGCCTTCAAAACACCGCCGTCGTCCATTTTGAGTTGAGAGAGAGACTTCCACTCACTGTTGTTTATCATTGAGATTGATTTTCGAGGTTTTTCTGGTTTTTTTAGTTGACTGCTTGGAATTTCTTCCATTTCCTTTTGTTTATGTTGCTTTCTTGTTAAGCAAAGCCCAAAGCGATGATCCTCTATGGGCCCTATGGGTCACCAATAAGCTTCTTTTCCCTTACCTTTCATTGTTAATTTTATTCATAGGATAAATATTTATGTATAAGAGCATGTTCACCCCAATGACCTTTGTGAAATAAGGTTACTCATGTATCTTACAATGCAATTTATAAAGTGTAAAATATTGTACTAAAAAATGATAAATAAATTACTAGGGGTGTTTAATTCTCTTTCATTAATTACTCTAAATTTTCTAAGTCACAGAGTTTGTCAACTCGCAATATAATCAACTTAAATCACTCAAACCCACCATGCAATGCATTTCCTTCCAATTTTTTTGTGTCAAAATAATAGATGATTGACTAAATAAACTTCTTTTAAAGTTTCATAAAAAATTTTCATGTATTTATGACAATTTCCGTGGTTTTTATTCAATTTTTATCGATATCGATATTTTCCTGATATTTCCATCGATATTTCCGTATTTTTGAACCACCGATATTTCCGAAACTATCGATATTTAAGACCTTGATCACAATATAAACTCCGAGCGAAACTGCACGAATTTGTACCAGAAAAGAATTGACACAAATTGATATTTTATTCTTCCTGTGATTATTTTATTCGGATGTGGAAAATTTTG